GATATGATGCTAAGTAAAATCAGCCAGACACAGACAGACGAAAAGACCACAAGATCTCACTTACATGTTGAATCTGGAAAGGTAGAATTTATTTACTTTTTCATTAGACCTTTTGACTGTCTCCAAATCTCATAAACCACTGAAAGGTAGCCTTCCTGGAAGAATCCTGTCTACTGATATTAGAGTCATGTAGCTCCTTGACGCTTATTTTATTTTTTACTTGAAAACATTTTATTTTTCAATAATTATAGACTCACAGGAAGTTGCAAAAGTAGTGGAAAGAATCCTGTGTAGGCTTCAGCCAGTGGTAATGTCTTACAGAGCTATTGTACATCACCAAAATCAGACTATTGACACGGATATTTTTTCAAAAATTTTCGACATTTTCCAAAATGTTTAACCTGTATTCACTTGAATGTGTGTGGTTCTATTTACAATTTAAACACATTCAAACAGATCTGTGTAGCAAAGAGCAAAATTAGATACAGGACTCTTCCATCATTGCAAGAGATCTATTTTGTGGTCTCTCTTCATATTCACACCCACCAACCTTCTGCCCGTTGGTCTTGGCAGCAACTACTCTGTTCTCCATCTCTGTTGTTTTGTCATTTCCAGAATGCTCTATAAATGGAATTTTACAATATGTAATCCGCTTGGATTGGTATTTTTCACTAAGCAGCATAATATCTTCCTAGTCCCTCCAGGTAGTTCTTTGTGTCTTGTCATTCTTTTTCATTGCTGAATAGTATTCCTTTTTATACATGCACCAGTGTACGTCCAACCATTAGCCCACTGAAGGGCATTTGGATTGTTACAGTATTTTGCCAATATAAGTGAAGGTGTTATAAAATGTGCATTCAGAATTTTGTGTGAACAATAAGTTTTCATTTCTCTGGGATAAATGCCAAATAATGTGATGATGGCTGGTCTATTTGATAAATAAATGCTTAATTTTATAAGAAACTTTCAAACTGTTTTCCCAAGTAGCTATTAATATTACATTCATTCCAGCAATGCAGAAGCATCCTCACCAGCACTTGGTGGTGTCACTGTCTTTTTATGAGACCCATTCTGATGCCTGGTACTTCATTATGCTTTTAATTTGCATTTCCCTAATGGCTAATGATGTTGAAACTTTTTTCATGTACTTGTTATTCTTATCTCTTCCCTGGTGAAATATCTGTGCCTGCCTCCCATTCTTAAATTGTATTTGTGTGTGTGTGTGAGAGACAGGTCTCACTCTGTCGCCCAGGCTGGAGTGCAGTGGTGTAATCTCTGCTCACTGCAGCCTCCACCTCCTAGGCTGAAGGAATCCTCCTGCCTCAGCCTCTCGAGTAGCCACCACAGTCATCTGAGATTTTTATTTGTATTTTTTATAGGGACAGGGTTTCACCATGTTGTCCGAGCTGGTCTCGAATGCCTGGATCCTGCCTCTGCCTTCCAAAGTGCTGGGATTACAGACATGAGTCATCACACCTCCCCTACTTGCGTTGTTTTTATCATCTTTGTTTTCCCCGTTGAGTTTTTTCTAGGTCTTTATATAGCCTAGGAGCAAAGTATTAATCATACATGTGACTTACAAACCTTTACGCTCGTTGATTACTTTTCTTACTCTCTAAACAAAGGTAATCGTCGAGGAAAAGTGTTGTGTTTTGATGAAGTGCGATTTACCTTTTTTGTAAAGTATTTATTTTAGGGTCACACTTTTGGTGTTGTGTCTATGAACTCTTCACCTAGCAAAGCTCCCAAGTCTATTTTCTTATCTTTTCATCCACAACCACCAATCCACAAGTTCTACACTGTCACATTTAAATGTGTCTCCACCCGTTGCCAGATATGGTGCCACGTGCTTGCAATTCCGGCTCCTTGGGAGGCTAAAGAGGGAGGGTCACTGGAGCCTAGGGGTTTGAGTTCAGCCTGGGCAACATGGCAAGAGCCCATCTCTAAACATAATAAATAAACAAATAAATCTCCTCCCTTTAATAGGGCCTCTTTCTGCCAAGCTGTGGCCTCTCTCAAATAAGAATGCTAATCAGTGCTGACTGGGACAGCCCCCATCAGTTTTAACCCAGAACTCAATGATCCCGGTAGCCTGAATTAAGCATTTGACTCATTTATTCAACAACTATTAACTGAGATGGGCATTTTCCCAGGTGCTGGAAGCATAGATGTGGACAAAACTGACCGAGACCTCAGGCTTATTGATTTCCCCTTCTGGTGAGGAATATTGATGATTAGCCCTAAATTTCATATGAAGATATGCCTATGAAGAGCAAAGAACAAGGTAATGTGATGGACAGACAGCCATAGGCACGAAGGGGTCCAGGGGACCTATTTAGATTCCTCTGACAGTTGAGTTGAACTCTGAGTGAAGAGGAAGAGCCAGACATGGGGAGTTGTAGGGAAAGTGTGTTTATGACAAGAGGAACAGAGCACAAAGAACCGTGGGTGCAGAATCTACTGCTGGACAAAGGGTTTTCATTTGCAAAGTTGTTGATTCCAGCAACCAAACTGAGCAACAGGTGATGAAAACCCGACAGATTGTTGTCTTACCCCGGTACTTTATCCCAGAAAGGGAAGTCAGATCAGTGCAGAATACATTCAAATCTCTCCTGGGTTTGACAAACAGAATTATCAATATGACACTCCCAGGCACACACAAGGCAAGGCAAGGCCAAAGCCAAGGCTGAGGCAAAGGTCTGACTCAGCCTGTAGAGATACAGTGAACTGCTCTGAGACTCAGACAGTTTCTACTTACGTGGGCAGTGGAGGGAAGAGTACTCACAGGTACCAGCTCTCAGTGGCCATGGGCAGCAGAGGGAAGAGCACTCACTGGTACCAGCCCTCAATGGCTGTGGGCAGCAGAGGAAAGAGTACCCACAGGTACCAGCCCTCAATGGCCGTGGGCAGCAGAGGAAAGAGTACCCACAGGTACCAGCCCTCAATGGCCGTAGGCAGCAGAGGAAAGAGTACTCACAGGTACCAGCCCTCAATGGCCGTAGGCAGCAGAGGAAAGAGTACTCACAGGTACCAGCCCTCAATGGCCGTGGGCAGCAGAGGGAAGAGCACTCATAGGTACCAGCTCTCAATGAGCATGGGCAGCAGAGGAAAGAGTACTCACTGGTACCAGCCCTCAATGGCCGTGGGCAGCAGAGGAAAGAGTACCCACAGGTACCAGCCCTCAATGGCCGTGGGCAGCAGAGGAAAGAGTACCCACAGGTACCAGCCCTCAATGGCCGTAGGCAGCAGAGGAAAGAGTACTCACAGGTACCAGCCCTCAATGGCCGTAGGCAGCAGAGGAAAGAGTACTCACAGGTACCAGCCCTCAATGGCCGTGGGCAGCAGAGGGAAGAGCACTCATAGGTACCAGCTCTCAATGAGCATGGGCAGCAGAGGAAAGAGTACTCACTGGTACCAGCCCTCAATGGCCGTGGGCAGCAGAGGGAAGAGTACTCACAGGTACCAGCCCTCAATGGCCGTGGGCAGCAGAGGAAAGAGTCCTCATAGGTACCAGCTCTCAGTGGCCATGGGCAGCAGAGGGAATAGTACTCACAGATACCAGCCCTCAATCGCCCTCATCTCACAGAAGAAAGGACAAGGCTGAACACAGAAAGGCTGAACACAGAAAGGCTGAAAACAGAATGGCTGGACACAGAATGGCTTGCATTGCAAGCCATGGGATATGCTGCTGCTGAGAAGCCAACCCTCAATTGCAGCTAAGGAAGTTTCTATTCTGCAGCTCCTAGGGAGGCCTGACAGACAACTCATACCTCATCAGAACCTGGAATGTGATGAGAAAGTCCCTCATGGCAGCCTCTCAGGAGATATAGGGAGGTAAGTGGGAGATGGTCCCAGAGTGGCTATTTATTTATTTTTTTGAGTCAGGGTCTCACTGCCATCCAGACTGGAATGCATTGGTGCCATCACAGCTCACTGCAGCCTCAACCTTTTGGGCTCAGGTGATCCTCCCACCTCAGCCTCCAGGGTAGCTGGGACTACAGGCACATGCCACCATGCCCGGCTAATTTTTGTATTTTTTAGAGATGGGGTTTTGCCTTGTTGCCCAAGCTGGTTTTAAACTTCTGGGTTCAAGTGATCCTCCTGCCTTGGCCACCCAAAGTGCTCAGGCATGAGCCATCTCACCTGGCATCAGAGCGGCTCTTCTTAAGCGCTCCACCGTCCTGTGTTCCTGGAAGGCCACAAGGTGTTCTACCAAAACTCACACTAGCTGTGGCTGGAGTCTCTTCCCGTGTGGGCTGCATAGATGGGTCGTCAGGATGCCTCCAGGATTCCATAGCTCTGTAAGCTCTCCCGTGGATTTACTAACTCGATGGTCCCTCCTCCACAGCCCAAAGAGCACTGCCCTTCTTAGCTTCTAGAACCTTGTCCCTTACCCTGTTCTCAGATTTGGTCCCCAACCTGGTCATGCATAAAGCTTCAGCCAAGATGAGAAAATGAAGTCCAGTCACCTCCAGGCTAGTGAAACAGAAACACAGGCAGTTTAGTGGACTCCAGGGCTCTACCCAGCTTAAGGCTGTCAGTTCCCAGCAAGGCTCTTTCAGTCCATCTGCATTTTAGAATTTTCTAATCCACAAGGTACCTAGTGACTCAATTGAAAAGGGGCTCATTACTTGGCACACAGAGCTGCTGTCCCCACTACATAACCCCAATGCATTTCAGCAAAACCATTTACACCCGGTGCAGCACTTGCCCTGATATGCATGCAGACTGAGGAAATAAAGAATAAGGGCTTCTCAGGAAACAGTTCTGCAATATCCACAAATGAAAAGAGATTACAGAGTAGACCCTAAATAGTTTCCAAGGAGCCATTATGGAAAACAGGTAAATTAAATTAATTTAACTATGTTTTCTTTGTTTAAACAAATATATCTGGTGCTTGGAAAACAGCAGGTTGTAAAACTGCTTAATGTTTCTCTGAATATTAAGCGCATGCAAAAAAGACTCCTTTGTGACACTTTTTCTGAAGCCTAATTTCTTACCATGGCAAGAGGGACGATGCCCACAAAGGCTGCCTGGCCAATGAAGACCTCAGAGATGGCCGACTCACTCATGGAGTCCTCAATCGGGTTCTCCCAGCCAGGTAATTTGCCAGGCCCTGGTAAGGCCACGACTGTTGCAAGATTTAACAGAAGGAGCCATTTGTTCTGGAAAACAAACATATTAAGGTTCCATTTAAAGTCTGAGACTCAGCAGAATGTCAAGAATGTAATAAATTGCCACATTTTTCTTTGTCAACCAAAAGAATGTCTGCCAAGTTCAATAAGTCACATGGCAGTGTTTTCAGAGCCTAATTCACGGCTGCCCATCAGCAGCCCACAGCTGAGAATGGGCTGACGATCCATCTCCAGGGCTCCGTGTTGCAGAAAGCAGGCTGCCCTTCACTGGATGAGTAGCTCGGCCAGCATTTCACCTCAGACGCCATGCACTGCTCTCCCCTCCCCAGCCCAGGCACGGGCACGCCACAGGCCAAGCTCCACACTTAGGAAAGGCCCGCAGATCGTTTCATGTAGCTCCATTGCTCCTCCAATCACAAAGCACACCCTGAACCCTGGCTGTTCCTGCTTCTACTTAGCTTGGGCCTGTGGACCAGTGGTTAAAACTCTCGAGGCTTTAGAATTTGCAGCTAATAGTGGAGACATCATAGATGTGTGGAAGCATCAGGAGACTGAGAATGAGAAAGACCTTCACACGCTACATGGTTTGCCACATAAACTACGAGCAACATAAGAAGGTACAATGCTGGATTTCTCATTTCAGCAAATGGGATTCGAAGTAATTTAAGGAAATCCCACCTGCCTTAATTCATGTACTGGCCACATCGTATGTGTGTTTGGAGGTGGGGGGCTAAGAAGTTGGTGAATTCTTTATATGAAAAAGACAAATGTGATTCTCAGTATTTCTGTATGCAGTATTTTTGTGTCAATAACAAGCCCCTTGTCATTGACATGGGCTTGTAAATTGCAGGCTATTGCATCAACAGGGAAGTCACTGAACAGAGTTAAAACAGAAAGCCACGCAGCACAGGATTGTGAATGACCCCACATTTGTTAGCCTGTTTCCATCCCTGTGAATCCAGCTTCACCCAGATCCAAGGAAGGTGATGGCAGAGCAGCTGATCCATAAGCTCTGCCCAGGCCTGAGCCACACACACCAGCTGCTCCTTCTCCGCTAATGAGCCTGCCTGGACCTACATGGGCTGAGAAGTCTTTTTCCTGCCTCTGGGGGCCCAGGAAAGGTCTACATTCTGGGTTCCCAACTTACAACGTGTGAGGAAAGAGTTTTGTAAAAGAACCTGCTGCCTGCTGCTTGTCTAACGAAATCTCCTACCATGGACAGCTCCTCTGCACTGGGACTTCCTGTAAGAAGGTGGGTGAAGAAACCACAATTATCCACTTCTTTGCATATGCCAAGAGGTACCAGAGGAACATTGGAATACAGCAATAGCTTTGACAAAGTCAAATTTCACTGACCTAATATCAAATTCTAACCCCGAATGAACTATATTAATCTTCACATAGGATTGGTCATATCCAACTTTTTCCCACTTAGCTAAGTTTGTAGAAAGTTCCAAATGCTGCTCTAATATTGCAGCCATCCACTAGAAGTGACTATTTAAATTGAAATGTGAATTTATTCAAATGACATAGGCAAATGGTCCCAGCTGAGCCCAAGCTAAGTGTGGGTACGTCGGGGCTATGATTCCTCAAATATCAATTGGTACAAGTTATTTTGCATGGTGAAGAAAATTTGCATTGAATAAAGGTTTCTGAACTCATGAGAGGACTGAAAGTGAGTACACATGGGACCGTCTTCCCCACCAGAGGACCCCTATTTACTTGGGTAACTTTAGTGAAAACACACACACACACACACACACACACACACAAATTAAGAGTGGAGTTTTGAATGGCGAGTGAGTGGTGACTGTGACACTGCTGAAGAGAAGCATGAATCTGGAAACTTAGGTGCCCAGTTTTCAGTTAAGCCTCCTCCCCACCACCATTTCCCATCCACAACATTCCAGGCTAAAGCCTCTTCCCAAGGCACAGGAATTCTCCGTGAATCTATCTGTTAAGTTACTTTTTTTTTTTTTGAGAGAAAAAGAGAAAAAGAAGGGGAAAAAAAGAAAAAGAGGGAAAAAGGAATATTACTTCATTCCTAAAATGGGTTTCAATAATGGCCGATCAATATTTTGAGTGTTTAAAGTGGTTAATGCATATTTTATGTGTTTAAAATGGAGACCTCTATTGTGTTTATTTGTTCTGGCTCTGAGTTCAAGTCCTGGATATCGTTATCAATTTGTTGTCGTGTTGAATCTAAATCTCATTATGTGTCTTATGTATCTGGGTGTTAAGATCTCTTATTGTTACATTAATCCTTTTACCCTTGCATCCTTGTAGCTTTGAAATCTATTAAGTGTGAGAATTGCAACTCCTGCTTTTTATTTATTTATTTTTGCTCTCCATTTGGTTGGTGAGTTTTTTTCCTTCCCCTTGTTTTGAGTCTTTGTATATCTTCAGATATATTGTTAGATTTTGTGGATAATGTATATTTTGTGTGTTTAAAATGGAGAGCTCTATTGAGTTTATTTGTTCTGGATCTTAGTTCCAGTCTCGGGTATCGTTATCAATTTGTTGTCTCGTTGAATCTAAATCTCATTATGGGTCTTATGTATCTGGGTGTTAAGATCTCTTATTATTACATCATTCCTTTTACCCTTGTATCCTTGTAGCTTTGAAATCTATTTTGTCAAATGTGAAAATTGCAACTCCTGCTTTTTATTTATTTATTTTTGCTCTCCATTTGGTTGGTACGTTTTTTTTTTTTTTTTTTTTTCCAACCCTTTATTTTGAGTCTATGTATATCTTTGGATATACCGTTAGATTTTGTCTGTCTGTATCTTTTGATTGGGAGATTTGGTCGATTTAAATTTAGGGTTGCTGCCATTTGTTATTAACTGGCTATTTTGTCCTTTCGTTGATAAAAATTCTTCTTTATGTTAATGCTCTTTACTTTTTGGTGTATTTTTAGAAAGGGTCATACTGGTTGTTCCTTTCTGTGTATAATGCTTCTTTTAGAAGTTCTTGTAAAGCAGGCCTGGTGGTAATAAAATCTCTGAGTACTTGCTTGTTCCTAAAAGATTTTATTTTTCCTTCAGATGTAAAGCTTAAATTGGCAGGATATGAAATTCTGGGCTGAAAGTTCTGTTGATTAAGTATATTGAATATTGGCCCCCACTCTCTTCTAGCTTGTAGGGTTTCCGTTGAGAGATCTGCTGTAAGCCTAATAGGCTTACCTTTATGGGTAACTTGATCTTTCTCTCTGGCTGCCCTTAATATTTTCTCCTTTGTTTCGATCTTGGTGAATCTAATGATTATGTGCCTTGGGGTTGGTCTTCTTGAGGAATATCTTTGTGGTGTTCTCTGTATTGCCTGGGGTTGAATAGTGCCCTGCTTTGCTAAATTAGGAAAATTTTCCTGGATAATGTCCTGGAGAGTATTTTCCAGCTTGACTTCATTCTCTCCGTCACATTCAGGTACACCAATCAAGCGTATATTAGGTCTTTTCACATAGTCCCATATTTCTTGGAGACTTTGCTCATTCCTTTTTATCCTTTTTTCTCTATTCTTGTCTTGTCGTTTTGTTTCATTAAGTTGGTCTTCTACCTCTGATACCCTTTCTTCTGCTTGATCCATTCGGCTGTTTAAGCCTGTACATATTTCACTAAGTTCTCGTGTTGTATTTTTCAACTCCATAAGTTCATTTGTATTCCTCTCTATATTGTCTATTCTTTTCAACATTTCATCTAACCTTTTTTCCAAGTTCTTAGTTTCTTTACATTGGGTTAGAACAAGTTCCTTTAACTCCCAGAAGTTTCTTATCATCCACCTTTTAAAGCCTACTTCAGATAATGGAACACAGTCCTTTTCCATCAGGGCTTGTTCCATTACTGATGAGTCCTCTTCCATCAGGGCTTGTTCGGTTGCTGATGAGTCCTTTTCCATCAGGGCTTGTTCCGTTGCTGATGGGTTCTGATTTTGAGTATACTCGGCCTTCTTAGGCTGTTTTTTTCCCTTCATTGTAGATGAACCGCCTTTCTAATTAGTTTTCTGAGTCGACGTCCGACTTACTGATTCCCAGTGCTGGGATCCGAGCAACCCACTGTGGCAGCCTAAATAGCGATAAGACTGATGGTGCTCTTCTGCCCGGGAATCTCTGGTCTGGCTTCCCTCTTGAGTCCGCAACAAGCGGCTCTGACTTCCTGGAGCTCCAAACTCCGGTCAGTAGGGGAAGCAGTCCCGTTGGCTCTGCATGAAGAGCTGCTGCGCCGAGACACCGGCAAAACCACTGTGGCGGCCACAAGAGTCGCGCTGGCGACCCGTGGGGCTCCTCCACTGGGAATCGGCTGATCGGTGAGTGATGAAAATTCGTCTAATGATGTGGTGTCGTCTCGTTCTCTGAGCTTTCACTGGGAGCTACAATCCTGAGCTGTTAGTGGTCGGCCATCTTGGATTGATCTCAAGTTACTTTTTACAAGGGATGCTTGGTCCAGTCAGACCAAATTTTCAGTTTCTCATTGGGCTGCACTGTGCTTTGTAACCAGAACTAAGAAGCTACTTCTGACAGGTCCTCAGCATCCCGTACACCTCCGAGAAGCTAATGCCAGGAAAGTGATCATCCAGTGAGAATAGACATGGAGTTAATGCCATCTGTCACCAGCCACTTCATCCTGCTAAATTCACACTCTGGTCCTGGGGTAAAGAAGGAGAAGTGGCCAGTCTTTGGGCAAAGGAGGTAGGGTCTGCATGAGACAATCAGCCCCTCTGACTGTGGGCACGTCCTGCTCCTCTCTGACTTCCCAGCCTGGGAGCTGTGTCTGCTGCAGAAACCTGCCCAAGTCCAGCAATAAAAATAAAGGAGAATCACTTCTATGTAAAGTCTTTTTCTTTTGAGCCATTTCTCTCAACCCAGAGGAAGGAATTCTTGTACTTTTGGGCAGTAGACATATTTGTTAATAAGTCCATTTCTATGGAAGTTTGTTCATAGCTATTAATTTCATGATCTATTCTTGATAAGCCTTTCCAGTTTAGAAAAGTGCTTCATAATTCTCTCAATTTAATAATTACAACTGCCTTTGAGGAAT